AAAGCTATATGATCTGCTAGTTCCTTATTAATATCTTGATTAAGATAAAGTAAGTCAAATGAAAAAGGGATTATTAAAAAATATTATTTCTTATAAAAAAATTGTGTTGATCCATACACTTTTCATTAATTTATAACATTAAAAAGTTAAAAATAAAAAAATAAAATCGAGAATTTTCACACAATAATAGCATTTTCACCATGAAGACAAAATAAAGTCCGAAATTTTTTTTTTGTATAATAAAGTATATTACATAAGCTTTAATTTAATATATATATAAAAGTGTCAGACTTTCCGGAACACTTTCAAAATTTAAGTTGAAAAAGTTAATTTTTTGTAGAAAAGTTGTCATTTTAAATCCCCCCTCGTGGGCAGGTTAAGGGTTAAATTTATAAAAAAAATATACCAAATGATAGGTAATGACTTCATGCATATATAAAAAAAAATATTTTCATTTTTGAAAAAGTTATGGCACTTTTAAGTAAAAAAAGTTGAAAAAATTTCGAAAATTTGTAATTTTTTTGGAGGTTTCCCCCATTTTATGGGAACGAGGGAATTTTTTTCAATATTTGAGGGTAATGTCATCGACTAGATACGATTTGTGATCTTTTGATGTATTGTTGAAAGAAATCGGTTCGGTTAGAGCTGAGAAAAAGTGGTAACAGACAAAAAAAAAAAAAACACACATCTTAGTAAAACCAATACCTTCTCAGCTTCGCATCGAAGCTAATATCAATAAAAGAAAGTTGTTAAAAAGATGTACTCAATTGAGCGTATTATAAAATTTGTTATAATTGTAAAAATCCATTTTTAAATTCACGTGAAACTAATTATCATTTTTGTAGAAATGATTTATATAGCAACATGTTACCAAAATATGTGGAATATTATAGACTAATAGTAACACACAAATAAAGTTAAAAGATTAATAAATTACAAAGTAACATTATTTAATTTTTTAGTCGAAACCTATTATCATATCAAACCATAAGAAAAACATTTGTTAGATATTTTAAAATAATAATGATTAATAACTTACGGAGTTCATAATTACTGGTCGTTCGTGGTTCAGCAGATAGACTTTGCAACTTTTGTGTAAAAAACCGGGAAATTGTAATCGGGCTAGAATCGTGATGTAGTAAAGCGACTGATGAGAAAAACAAGACATAAGTATAATAAGCGTAATGCTAATATGTGGTACCATGTCAAGTATTTTTTGTAGCATAGCGAATGAATAAGCACAGGCTCGACAGGAAAATTTAAAAATCTATTTGTACTAATAAATTTACTTAATTTTATCATACGATTTATTTTTACATGGATGGATTTCTTTCAAACCGGATTAAGGGCGTACACCCGTGGGCCCACAACTATAAAGAACCCATCTCGAATTTTACTAGCCTAGTTATAACTAGTGATAGAGTTTTTATGGTTTAAATTTTTTTATACTCATCACTTTTTATGGTAGCGATATTTTCCATAAAAAAATAATATAGCATAATATTGAGATTTTTATTTTAATTTTTAAAATAAAGATGATTATCTTTAATTAGTTTTTAATTAATTAACTTTTCTTTTCTGAAAATTAAATTCTATTCTGTACATGTTAATATTTAAATATAAATTCTAGTCGATCCCTTTATATTTTAGAGGCCATACTTAAAAATAAGTAGTCTGAACTCACATAAAACCCAACAAATAAATAGTTTGATATCATGTGAAACTTTGATAATAGTTAAAGAAAATACTTTTTATTTTAATATGTGAATAGTAATATTGATATTAGGTATAGTTCGATCCAGCTCTCACGTAGGATCGAAATATTAATTTCATACTAAATTTAATAATTATAATTAGTATTTATTCATATATTATATTTTAAAATGAAAGAACTACTAATCAGGACATAATCAAAGAATAAGAGTTGATGTTGCTTTTGGAATAATCCACAAATTTCTCTAAATGATATACTATCTACAAATTTGCATCGAAGCGTTTCTTTTGATAGTGATTTTAATCACTGTCAGATATCATCTATACTTGTCCCATCTATACCTCATACAAACTGTGCGTCAACCCAACTTTGCTACTGTTACCACTTTTTCTCAGCTCTTACTGGACCGATTTCTTTCAACAATACGTCAAAAGATCACAAATCGTATCTAGTTACAGACATTATCCTTAAAAATTGAATAATTTTACCTTGTTTCTCGCAATTGGGGGAAATCTTCAAAAAAATTACAATTTTTAAAATCAGTAAATTTTGTAATTTTTTTCAATTTTTTTCTTAAAAAATCCATAACTTTTTTAAAAATCAACAAACAACCATAATTTTTTTTTATACTAAAACTTAAGATATTTACCTTTCATTGATAACATTTTTTAAAAATCTAACACTTAACCTGCTCACAGGGGGGGATTTAAAATAGCAACTTTTTACAAAAACTAATTTTTTAAAGTTAACTTTTGAAAATGTTCCAGAAATAGTGCATCCTTTAAACAAATATCAAATTAAAGCTTATTTTATGTACTATAAAATGAAAAAAAAATTTGTTCCGACACTTTATCTTCTAAATGCAAACGGCTGCCGTAGTTAAAAAAACGTTATTTTTGTGTTAAAATCCTGGGTTTTGTATTTAATTTATTTTAAAATATCTTATAAGGGAAATATACTGACTTTCATGAATATTATATAATTTATTTGACATAGAATAAAGTTCATAAGACATAAAAAAGTAAACCTATTTTAATTTTTTACTATTTTAAAGTCGAAAGAGTAATTTTTAAATTTCAGTTAGCTTAAATTGCTAATTTTATCATACAACAACAACGACAAACAGTTGCCGAATCGGTAATACTTGTATTTTTCACGCATAGGGTACGAGGTTCGGATTCGCCTATGGCGATTAATATTTTGTTTTTTTTTTGAGTTAGAAAAACTTTTTTCAAATCATTTGATTTTTATTTCATTTAGATTCAGTAACTTCAATAAATATCAAAGATCCCATCACTATAGTCTCCCCTCGTGAGAAGAAATTTCTTATTTCTGTTAATATTATTTTACTATATGTTATTTTTTGTGGCAACGATTTATTTTGCCAATCTTCACTTGACCTACTTATATGAACGATACGTCAAATAATTACAATTCGTATTTAGTTGAAGATATTACCCTTTAAAAATTGAAATAAAAATCCCTTAATCAAATAACAAGTAGCTTAACCAGCTTTATACATACAAACAATTAAAATCATTAATTTCTAATATTTTAAAAGTATTTATTGACGAATTAAGTTTAATATAATAGTTTTCAACTACAAAAGTAAATAATTTTACTTTGTAATTTATTAATTTTTTTACTCTATTTGTGTGAGCTACTATAGTATTCTATAGTATTCCGAATTTTTTTGTAACATGTTGCTATATAAATCATAAATTAAAAAAAAAATTATTTTTAATTTCATCTGAATTTAACGATGGATTTTTACAATTATAATCAAATTTTATAATACGCTCAATGAGTAAATCTTTTTAACAACTTTTTTTTATTGGTTCTATTAGTTAAAGTAAATCATTTAAATTAATTAAATTCTGAATATTTCCATTGTAAAATCTTTTTAAATACCAAAAATTAATTAGAAGTGATTACTATGATTTTTATTTAAGTTATCTATTACGATAAAAATGTAAAAAAAAACCGAAGTCTTTTGATAAATTTACTGTAAATAGTAATTATAAAATTTCCTGACTGCATATTAATCTTAACAATTTAATTTTTTGTTTTTTGAGAACACTTATTGACGAACGCGTACTTCAAACTGTTCTTTAAGGTTAATGTCAAACTTAAACTTAATGGCGAATTTATGAATTTCAGTAATCGATTTAAGAGAACTATCCCGTAAAGTGCGTGCTCCAATGAGAGTCTTTTCTTCCAGATTTACTTTAGAATGCCTCGGGGCCATTATTAAGACAAATAAATATCCAGCCCGAAGGACCAATGTTTGAACGCAGCGCCCGGTGGTATTCACGCGGGTTGTTAACGTTCGTGGTTTTGTTTTGTCATAAGTTTTTAGCTATGACGAGGAGAAATAATAAGGTGAGTGGACTGTATGTTTGAATGTAGAATAAATTTCACAAGATATAATTATAACAATTAAATGTATTATACAAGAAATATAAAATCTTATATATACCAATGTGGATAGGTTACCAAAATTTACAGTAGTAAATTCATTTTTTTTTATTAAAACTTTCATTTTAAAGGACAAAAAAAGTAGGTTCAACATGATTATTTTTAACATATTAAAAATCAAAATCAATAATAATTCTAAAACAATTAATTTTAAAACTTATATAATATCTTATTAAAATAATTACTAATCTGGGTATAATTAAGGAAATAGAAGTCGATGTTGCTTTTGTAATTATCCATCAATTTTTTTAAATTAAACACTATCTATAGATATGCATCGAAGCGTTTCTTATGATAGTGATTTTAATCACAGTCAGATTAAATCTATACTGGACCGAACTATGCAATGTCTTCACTATTTCGCNATTTTAATCACAGTCAGATTAAATCTATACTGGACCGAACTATGCAACGTCTTCACTATTTCTCGACCCCACTGTGCTGGGTTTTTTATGAAATAGTTGTTATTTTGAATACGCTCCTGTGGGCAAGTAAAGGGTTAGATTTTGACAAAATTTATATCAAATAAAATAATACCTAAGGTTTCTATGTAAAAAACATGTTTTTGATTTGTTCATTTTTAAAAAATTTATCGCAGTTTTAAAAAAAAAGTTTAAAAAATGTCGAAAATTAACCAATTTTCAAAATTGTATCTTTTATGGGGATGTCCCTCTTTTACAGTGGACAAGGGATATTTTTTCAATTTTTATGAAAAATTTCTTCAACTATATATGATTAGTGATCTTTTGACGTATGGATGAATGAAATCGGTTCGGTGAGAGCTGAGAATAAGTGGAAACAGACACAAAAAAAAACACATCTTAGTAAAATTAATACCTTCTCATCTTCGCCTCAAGACCTGAAGACAAATTCGAACCCATCTGCATTCCTTAGTTCTATTAATACATCATCAACTTCTCTGTAATATAATACCGCGACCATGTTTCTGAAATCTATGAAAAAATAAACAAAAGTATTATTAATTGATTAAAAGTAACTAGATGTGAGTTTTTTATTTAATACTCGAATAATTCAACTTGATAAATTAATAAAGTAACTTTTTATCAACTATAATTTTTTCGATAATCCCTATAATTTAAAACGACTATCGATAATAATAAAAATAAGTGTATTTATCGGCTATTTTTATTTTTTTTGAAATACATTTTAGCCATATGGCTTTAATTATTTGGATAACGAATAAAAAGTTATTTTACTAATATATCTAATATATTTTATTCTAAAAATTACTTAAATAAAAATAATACATATAATTTTATTAAGTAAAAATGAATTTTATAATATCAAGTAAAATTAGAAATCCTTATTACAAATTAAGGCGTAATAAGATCAAGTAGTAAAAGTAAATTTTAATAATATTTTATGGTATATGGGAATCTATTGCGAATGGTTCCAATTTGTCGTATAATGCTCAATGCTTTGCATTATGTATGTTACATTTATCAATGAAAAATTTATAATCTGTATTTTATATTACTTGTAAGCAAACAAATAACTTATCTGTCATAACATGTACACTGTTCAACACAATTTCTTATTATTTATATACATTTCAATTTATACATTGTTAACTGTGCTATCTAATATAATTATCATGTAATGTATATTTTAAAACAATAAAATATAATCATGGATAGCGCAAATGGCAATATTCCTGGATATGGGGGTATCTTTTTAATACTATTAAAAGCACTGAAATCCATTGAGAGTTCAGTTCGTTTTTACGAATCACTCTCGCTTCTATTTTTTGGTCACGGCCCCGTGCTGCCATTTGAGTTATTTTATTGTGCATACCTTATTCGTGTTTAGAATTTATTTTATTGTATAAAGACTTTATTATCGTAAATATATAATATTGAGTGGAAATTGGTATTTCTGGTAAATACTCCATTCATCTTCATTGAATTAATTGGATATTACAGAACACGAAGTACGTCAGTTTATATTATCCATTTATTTGTATTATATATGTATATATATAATATTAATCTCTTTTAACATCAAGAGTAATTTTGCTAATTTTTTAACACTTTATACATATATATATTACAGGGTCTGGAGGGTCGGATTACCTCTCCGTTACCTCGGTGTCCTATTAAAGGTGTTTACAAATTTATTAGCTTATATTCCTCAATAAAGAGGACATACTTTTATTTTTTCATATCTACTTGTCTTTATTGTTCTAAAACCCTCGGACTCTATGACCCCAAAGGATATATAAATATAAATAAGTAGTAACCCAAAATAGACAACCACCCTCGTGCTACTATTTAACCATTTACTACCCCCAACCTATTTTATTCCATTTTGAGTAACTACAATTTGTTAGGCTATAAATAAATTCAATAAATTAAGATTCCATTCGCCATTCCGACGACAGATTAACCATAAATCTTGGAGTTATGATAACTTATTGAAGTATATCACATTGGCCTTAGATGAAAAGTCTAAAAGTCTAAAAACATTTAACGTAAAATTTATTTTACTTGGAAAGCTGATATCTCTTGAGTTTGCCCGTTCATCACCTATTAATCTAGCTGCATCAATTCTTCCGACACCCATTTGTAATTCATTTAAAGCTGCCATAAGTTCTGATATGGTCATCTTTCTTGTACTTCGATTTAAATTATTTCTATAAATAGTGTGTAATTTACGCTCAATTATTTTTGCAACTACTAGTATTTGTTTTGAAAACTGATCCAATGTCATTAATTCGTCTCCTTTTGAAGTAAAAATAATGTGTCATTTTTATTTAAAAGTAAAATGGTATTATCAATAATTTTATTATTCAATAATCACTGACCGACATTTAAATATCACTTAATATATTATAATATTATAAATAATAATTTATACAAGAAATAGTTTTTTATGTTAATTGAAAATCTAATAATACTTTCTAAGACGTTTAAATTATTATATTGATTAAATTGTATATATATGAAATATTAGTTTGAAACAAATATTTCAAAACATTTCGACTAAATACGACAATAAAGAGAACTTAAGTCATCTAGTTATTAATACCGCAGACACAATCACGTTTTGAAAAAGGTAAAAATAAAACACGGCACGCAATAGAGAAACTACCATTTTTTTCCATAGGCCCAAATATATATGATTTTAGCTTCATGAAATCCCAGAAATGTAAATAACTCTCCAAAAAATATCAAACATTGCATTTATGGTTTAAAAAAAATATTTTTTTAAGGTGGGAAATTATAATTAGCACTTGGATATGATATATAACTATTTAACACAACATTTGAAGTTGTATCTTTTTCATAAAACTAGCTTACTTTATAACATAAAACTATTATTTATAATTGTTAAATTTGGTAAGGTTTCAACTATTTTATAATTTTTTCGAATTCTATGAGGCCTTTTGAGAACAAATAGTCCTTATTTATAATAAGTTTTTCTACCAAAGTATTTTTTTGTTCTAACTATTGTAAAAATAATCTAGTCCAATGATATTTAAACGTAATTACTTTAGATCAAAATCTGTCTGATTTGTATTAATTAATTAAATTGTATGGTAATACTTTTAATGTTATTAGTTGGTAGCTTACGATATTATAAATAAAAATAAAACACTATATTTTTCAATCAGCAGCTAATAAACGTTCTCTACCTTCTTCACCGGTGACCCCCACTTACACCGCTAACTCCGTCGCTACTACTGCTACCAAGAAATCAAGATTCTTTGTCTCTCCAAACCGCTACTCTGTCCTTGCCGATAATGAGACCTACTCCGCCAACTCTATCGATAACAATCCAGTTGAAGTCGACATGCAAAGTCAGGGGTCCGTGCACTCTACCACACATACACAAAAGAAACTAGATCTGCCGCCACCGATATTCGTTAAAGGCGTAAAAGATTTTTTCGAACTATCCAAAGAAATAGTTGCTATCACTGGACCAGACAGTTTCAGCTGTAAGTCAACGTCTTCGCATCTTAAACTCCAGCTTGACACCCCTGATAACTATCGTAAAATAATCCACTTTCTGAAAGACAATGATGCAGAGTACCACACGTATCAACTAAAATCTGATAAAGCTTATAGAGTAGTGTTAAGAAATCTCCATCCATCGACTCTCGTTTCCGAAATCTCAGCAGCAATTGAAGAAATTGGTCATTCTGTCAGACAAGTCACCAATATTATTCATCATCAAACCAAAATCCCATTACCACTGTTCTTTGTAGACCTTGAGATCGATGAGAACAATAGTGATATATTTGATGTCACATCCATACTTCACACAAAAATAAAAGTCGAAGAGCCACACAAACAACGACAGATTCCCCAATGTTTAAATTGTGGTCATACTAAAAGCTATTGCAGCTATAGTCCACGCTGCGTTAAGTGTGGCGGAAATCATCTCTCCATGAACTGTTCCAAGTCACGCGAAACTCCTGCCACCTGCGCACTGTGCAATGCCAACCATCCAGCAAACT